GCTTAGCAGTGAGTGGCAATCAATCCAGCCTTGTCTCTCAACAAGTTAAAGAGTTTTGACATAGTGTGGTTCTCATCTAGAGGTTTTCTTATGAAAAGAAAATTCAAATGCTTTTTGAAAGCGTACTTTTAATAAAATCATCCACTTTTAGAAAGAAAAGCTCTATCCAAAGAAGTAGGCTGTTTGCCTCAGCACCTCTTGAAATTTCAGTAATATTGCCATGCATGCACTTGGGAAGATGCATTTCTTCAGTTTCACTTGACATTCTTGACATTTTTCACTCCCTAATGCAGAAAGCAGTGCCAGCCAGGACTTGCCAGGAAATGTACCCACTGGTACATGGTACACCATCTCAGTGAAGTATTAGCTGCTCAGCTACTGGTTGCTTATCTCTTTTGTTACTTGAATAACAAGGATTATGAATTATTCAGCTACAGTATGAAATGGATAAATATGATACATTTCCCAGATTTCATAAAAGTTAAAATAGTGGGCACAGAAGAAAGGGACTACATTATGCAGAAGAAAAAAAATAGGATCAGTATGAGGCAAGTATTTCCTAACAAAGAGGCCTATTAAATGGCTGAGAAGTCCCTTGCGGGAAGAGGTGGAGGCCTCATCACTTTAGATATTTAAACCAGACTAGACAAAGCATTCATCTCTACAGGGGCGAAGGAAATGGATAAAATTACTTATTAGGCTTCTTCCTATCCATCTCTGATTTCTACAATTTAATACATTTTTTAAAATGCAAATGACATTTGTATAGCAAAAGGCAGAAAAACAACAAAAAAAACATTTTCTAGTTGAAGTGTTGCCCAGCACAATGAAACTTGATTTAAAAATAAATTTATGCTAGCAATTCAGACTGCAAGATGACTTCTCTTTGTTTAAGGTCTAACACTGAAAAGCTTTGGTACTGTCACATGTGTCTCTAAAAAGATGATTTACTGTCCCCCGACTGGGGATTTATTCTTTGTGCCAGAACTCTTTGTGAACTGTGATGTTTCAACTTTGACAGAGGTGGTTGATGCAAAAGAAGAATGCTGTTTTACAGAAAAGTAGTGGAGTGTGGGGTCTGTACCTCAGGTCTGGCAGACTTATCAACTCCCTTGAGAATCTCCAGCACCAAATATTTACTGATGTCATTCAAAGGATAACATCTAGTCTGCTAGTATGAAAGTAAAAAGACTCTCAGTCTCTTTTTATCACTTTGAATTATCTTAAAATGATTTCAAAATTCTCAGTTCTTCTTCCCCACATTTTTTTCTTTTTCTCTGTTTTTTTTTCTTAAATCCTTGAAGGCACTACTCCATTTAAAATAAAGTGCGCTGTCTTGCTTTGTAGAAATAAATATGAAGAAATGGAAAAAAAAAAACCCTACCCTAAGAAACCTTAGGATAGTCAAAATGTTTAAAAGTGTAACACTGTGGATCTTTCACTCCACCCACCATCCATGCAGGAAGATGAAATCATGATGTAGAACTCCTGTACAAGAAATCAAGATGCACAGCTGAAGTGAACTGTCCCAGAGGCAATGCAGGGGTGGGTGTTGGGCCGTGGTGGTGCTCAGGCTTGGGACAGTCTCTCAGTAATTCTGAACCAGCCAAGACAAGGCAGGATATAGCCCCATGTTTTCCTTGCTTTGACGTTAAAACTGTTTCAACAACATGCTGCCATTTACCCTCTGCATCCTGTTCACTCTCGCATCCTGGCTGCAGTTCGCCATATTTTCAGAAGGAGCCTTGCCGTGCTGGCCTGGGCTGCAAACTCAGTGTAGTAGAAAAGATTACTTCATTTCAAAATACTGCTTATCCACAATAAGTTCATGTAGACTTGTTTCATGAGAGGGGGCACAAAAATAAGAGGAATAGTGAATTGAATCTACCACTACAACTGGTTAAAATTAAGAAAAACAAGGGCCCTGTACCCAATAACAAGTAACTCCCTCAAAAACATCATCTACCTTCTTGTGAATCTCCTCAGTTCCTCTTCCTCAGGTTAAAGTGTAGCCACTTAGGTGGAAAGCTGTGTTGTCCTGTTCTGTGCTTCTGTCTGTCTGGCTGTGTGCTGCTGGACTCCACAGAACCAGAGAATTCTCTAAGTTGGAAGGGACCCAACAAGGATTCCAACTTTCAAGTGAATGGTCCATACGGAGGTCGAAGCCATGACTTTGGCGTTATCAGCATCATGCTCTGACCAACTTATCTATGTCTTCAGGTTATCAAGTCTGTTTGGAAGTCTAGTTTTGGGTACATTGTTAAATACTGGCAGCCTTGAAGTTTGCCAATAATGTTATCAGGACAACAGTTTGCCTATTTTAAGTGTCTTATATTAGCATATGCAGTTTTGTGGGCCTATAATCAATATAGCAGGACCTAGCAAAGATCACAATGCAGCTAAATCAAAGACATCAGCCCTTACTTTGTCCAGTCCTGTGGCTTTAAATAGTTAACATAACAGCGGGAGTATGCCCAAATCTAAGGATTCATTTAAATTAGAATGAAGTTCAATACTTTGCCATTTGGAAAGTAGATGTACTCAACTGTAATAACAGTAGTGAATTAATTAAATTACCAAATGAATTTTAAACACCAAAAGGGACAGTATGGAAAACATTAAACTGTTTGCAGCAGCTCTACCCCAAAATATTTCTTCAAAACAGCCCCTTTGTCCCAGGCATAGACAAAACCCCCCTCTCTGCTTTGCTCATCTTCTCAGTCAGCCCAGCCCCAGCCCTAGCCCCACGTCCTATGTAAGAGCCCACAGACTCTGTTAACTCACGCTCTGTTAATTGCCCTTTGGGCTCTGGGCTCAAGCCACACCTGCAGAGCTTCATCCCTCACCAAGTCCTGCTGACAGGATGGTCCAGCTCAGCACATCCTTCCTAAGCTGTGCCCAGCAGCTGCTGCCCCAGCCCTCAGGGGATCCCACAGTATCATACTGTAAATGGGCAGCTGGCGAGGATAGAGTCTGCATCCATAGGATAAGCAGGAATTTAAAACAAAACAACAAAAAAAATCTCATTTGGACTAAATTAATCCTGTAGTAATGAATTTCTAGCACTTTGTACTTGGTTGAGTCATGTCTGGGTATGGAATAAATCCCACTGAAAGGGAATTGCCTTGTAGTGCAGGCAGTATTTTACAACCCTGGGAGCCATTACTTTCCAAGGAGAGAAAACAGTCAAAGAAGAGGAAGGAAAATCAGGCAGAGAAGTATGCCCCATTTGATTTTAGCCCCATTTACATTGATTTCAGCACAGTTATTCCACTGCAGAGGACACAAGAGCTTTCAGTTCAAAGTCTAAAGGATGGCAGAGAATAAAAATAAGGAAAGAGTAATATCTGAAGTTCTAGTCTCAGTCACACAGCAAAAATTCTTCTCCACAAATAATTGAGATTTATTTCCCAGCAATTCTCAATGGCCATATTGTAAGTCATATAGGTATTTTATGACCCCAAGGTTGCAATAGCATGGTCTGGCTGAGTGGCAGCATAGCTGTGCAATCAATATGCCTTTGCACACTTGCTTCTTTGAGTGGGTTAGAAATGCAGCACAGCCTGAAATAACAGCATAAATTTAATGGGCTGGCAGTCTGAAAAGTAGAGAAGTATAACAACAGGTGTATTAATTTGTGCTGAGGTGTGTAACTGACACCACTGTAATTTTGCTACAGTTTGGCTCTGTTTTAAAACAGAGTACAAAATACCTGGTGCTGGAGCTAAGATAATCAACTGAAAATCAAAAGGAAAAGACAACGGGTAGCACTGCAGAGCATGTTGTGCAGAGGTAATTAATATATATCACACATTTGCAAAACCTATATCCTCTGTTAGTCAGCCCTTTATTTGAGACACTATATTCAGACAAATTGAACAAGTCCTAAAACATATAAACCCCTAACACTACAAATACATATTTCCAAAAGTTATGAAGTTCTATAAAACCACATAGGTTTCTATTCTTTCTTTTTGACATGATTGTTGTTGGATACTTAAAATTTATGAGTTCATAGATGAGTCAAACCTTGACTGGAGATGATTCCTCTTCTAACTACATGTGCTTTACCACAAACATTAAAAACAACTACTTAGGAACAGCATTTTCTAGGAATTCTGAAAATATTTTAGGTATAATTATTGTCATTACAGAAAAGTCTGAAACATTTCCTTTAATCATTCAATACATAGCTCCATAACTCCATACACTTGAAAACTATAATTTTCGCTGTAAGTTTTCTTCTCACATATGTGTCTATATGTACATACACACACATATATATGCACTATTATAAAATGAGGGTCAAGAAAAGCAGGACCTTTACATTTCCACATTTTCTCTGTTTGCAGTAGGAATAAAACTGCAGATACCACCTGTGCCATCTACAAAAATTGAACCAGCTTAACTTCAAATCCTCTTGACAGGCTCTGCTTTTCCCACTGTCATTTTTTCATTCTTACCAAAGTCTGATTGCTCTAAGAGTATATTGTTAGGCCATACATTCAATTTTCATGCAACAAACCCCTCTCCCTTTTACACTGCCCTGAAATGACTAAGTCTTGTGCCAGACCCAAAAACCAGGCTTGCACTGCTCAACTCCACTCTGCTGTGCACAAGAAAACCAGTTTGCAGCTGTGGTGTTGCTAGACCTAGTTATACACATAAACATTAAATATTACTTATTTTTGTGTTCTTCCAGTAGTTCAAAAAATAGCCTAAACCATGCAACATACAAGCAAGCCTTACAGGGCCTGGTTCTATTTGGGGAATGGTAAAGTGTCAGTAATTCCTCTGAGCTCCACTAATGGAGAGATGCTAATTGCCACATCTAGATTGCCATCAACTCACAGTGGTGACAGGGGGAGTTCAGAGTATTAAAACATTTTGAAGGACTATGCCTTAAACAGAAATCTTCCAAAAGTCACATTATCTCCTTACAGTACTCATTCTGTGAACTCAGAACAAAAACAAACAAACAAACTCACAAACCCAAAAAATCAACCAAACAAAACCCCAGTTAACCATTTCAGATTTTTTTTCCTCGAATTTGTGTTACTGATTGAAGATCTGTTTCCTAATGGTTCAGAATAAAAGTCTATCTTGATAGCTAAAGTCACATAAGCCAAATTCTCCAGAACAACTACCACAGAGTAGATGTGCATGAGGTTGGTCATCCACTAGGAAGGACTGGTGGCTTGGAAATGTCAATGCTGGGAGGGAGGGTAAGCATAACAGAACATAGCTAGAGAAATCTGCAGAGCTCTGAACCCTCAGAGGGACGCCTAAGGTGTGTACACTGAAATAAGTGCACCTGGAGAACAGCAAACACGTGGCTGCGTCCCCAGAAGTACTCATTAGCAGGAATATTTCACAGTGAGCTGCAACTCTGTGACAAGGAAAATTGGGCTTCTCTTTGGGGAAAGTGTTCTGGAGACAGGTTTTTAACATTAAAAAAAAAATATTGGCCTCCCACAAGTATTTTTGCTGTAACAAGAACTAAAAAATTGGTAGTTTGTTTTATTATTCTTATAATACTAACTAATAGAGTGATTTAATTTTCTGTAAATGATTATGGTTTATAAATAACAGATATTTCAGAGCATGAGATGCTTTGGGTGAAGAGATGCAGTACTTGCATCTGGAAGGTGTCTGCTACAGTAATTTCTTCCTGGGTGAATCCTACAGCATGAACTGACTTGATCAGTCCAATACAAAACAAAGTCCTACTCATTTAAACAGTGGCAGCAGCAGCAGGCACCAAGTTTGGTGATTTTGCTTTATGCCTTTCTAAAATTCAGCCCTTCAAAATCAACATGTAATTTTTATTCCAGTTCTTAGCTCAAAAAATGCTTGGGGTGAGGGATGTCAAATTCAGTTGGAAAAAAAGGGACCATGTAACTAGGGCCACTGCTTCCATTTAGTGGGATGGACAATAATAATAAATAAGAATACAAAGAATACAAAAACAGGATAAATCAACTATGCTACACATCTGGTAATACACCTTTTTTTACTGCATTTGTTATCAAGATGACATGCAGTCTAGAACTTCATGGCAAACACACTGGCAAAAGCCATAAATCATGAGAATAACAAGGCTCGAAGGAACAAGGCTTACAAAGACAACCCCAAGGGTGACTTTCTTGGATACCAGTAAATAAATCCCTAAAGGCAAGGAGCTAAAGTACAGCAGCCCTAGCAACCACACTAGCACCCGAATCGAGGTCTGGAAGAGCAAAGATGTGCAGTTCCACACTGTCCAGTTGTGAGACACAGTTGCAACAGAGTCAAAACTTGTAGGCCTGTAAAATTCCACCACGGGGGTTGAGTTCAGAGTCTGGGGACTTTCTCTTTGTACTTCCATGATTGTTATAACCAGGCAATTAGAAGAGGTGTGAGAAGGGCTAACCAGAGATGCCAGCCTTTTGGGAGTCAACAACAGTTCTGTTGGGTTGTCTGGTAGGCACTTCTTTCCCTTTCCCCCACAAGCTAAATTCAGAAGGATATTGTTGTCGTCAGGAAGACTACTAACCTCATCGTCTGGCAGGCACGTTTCAAACCTGCAGAACGGGCACACTATGACTCCTTGTGGGGAATCACCGAAGTCTATGATCTTGCAAAGGCATTTGGCGCACACTCTGTGACAGCACTCCAGCACTTTGGGTTTTCTCTGCCGCAGGTTGTAGCGGTTGTAACAGATCTTGCACTCAAGCTCGTCTGAGCTCTGGGTCTCCACGGACTCCTCTGGTAGCTGAGTGGTCATTTCTTCAGATGGTTTTCAGACTCGTTTTTTCTCAGAAAGAGAAGTCAAGGGACGAAGAGGTCACTCAGTCTTATTTTAGAACATTTTCCTATCACCCATCTCAAACAGAAAAAGAGGAGATGACATCATTGAAAAGCATCAGTAGACATCATCCATTTTCAGCTTATCCTAGGGATTGTGCAGTGCATGCCCTTTACTCTGAGCCAGGCGTCCATCTGAAAAAGCCAAAGAGGAATTTTTGTTGAAATCAAAGGCAAAAACAGGAAAGGAAAGGGGAAGGGGAAGGGGAAAAGTAAAGGGAAGGGGAGAGAGGAAAACGGAGAGGGAAAGCTTTAGCAAATGAAGTACACAAGTTCTACTTTTTATAACCTCAGCTTTTTTTGCTAAATCTACCTCTAAGGTAGCTTTTTTCTGTGGCATATGAGGCCTACATAACAGTCACCATGATGAAACTTAGCATCATAGTGCATGGATTTATTTTAGAGTTGAAGCTCTGAGTGGTTCAGCCCATGAAGTTCTCAGCAGAATCTGCAATCTAATCACTGATCTGTGACCATTTATTTAAACTCTGGTTTCCCAAGGAAATGAGACTTGACACCTGGAGCTTTTGGTCTTTCCTGGTAACTTGTGAACCTGCTGTCCAATTTCAAACAAATCAGCAGAGGGGCCACAGTACTGAAGATAATTAAGTTGCTAAAAAGAAATGAACACTGGCAACTGGGTAGAGGAGAGATATTTACAATTAGTACCATTTATCCTGGAGGGAAATGGGTGGTCAGTACACCCCAACCTCTGCTCTGAATGGCAGCATGCTGCCTGTAGCTCAGCCAGAGAGGAGGGCAACCAGAGGGAAGCTGCTGATACTTTGGGGAAATAAAACGTTTGGGGGAGTGGAATGGGTATGAAAGAGGTCCAGAGTTATTGCAAAGAGTTATGTGGGGACCTAGGTCAAATCTGGATTAGGCTTTGTTAATTTTTCTGTTTGTGGAGCAGCCCATTTATTTTCTCCACCCAGCTGCTGGACATACGTTTACAAACATAAGTGTTCTTTAGCTTGCAACAAACGTCTCCTTCAATATGTGGCTGCTGGGATGAAGGCTAATGTGTCTTCCAAGGGCATTCACCAGATGCTCTGGTTTTCAAGGGTGTCATGGCTGTGACAGCGGTTTCACACCTCAGCTAAGGAGAGGTCTGTGGCGCGCTTGCCCTGCTGCACTGCCACTGCGTGCAGCAGTTTTGCCACCAGACACATCTGCATCACTTAAACAAATGTTTTGTCATATTTTGCAATATGACTTCAGGAAACAGTGCATGTATTATAAACAAGGCATTAACCAGGAGTGTGTGCTCTGGGGATCAATAATCACCAGCATTTACAAAACCAGCTCTTATCTGCCAAAAGATAAAAACTTCATCCAGATTCAGGCACATGCTTGCTCAAAGAAATGAGGGCAGAACTGCATTTTGCACGTTTTCAAACTCATCCCTTCATTGCTAGACTAGCAAGGAATTGGCCACAGTCAAATGATGGGCAAAGTCAGCACTTATCCAGCTGCCTCTTGCATTATCAATAAGTATCAGTCACACTGAATATGAAAAAGTGGCCTATTTCATGAAACTTATTTCTTGACTATTTGTTTTAGTAAATATGTGATTTCTTTCCCTTTCCATTAGGAAGTTATTACTCACTCCTAGAATTCAGATTTTTGTTCTTTTTTTTTTTTTTTTTGAGGACAAGGCAGGAAGCAACTCTTTTAAGCGACGTGCTCCTTCTGTCAATACATTTTACCTGCCAACCATCACTGAAGTCTCTTTCATGAGCCTCTTGTTCTTACTGTGCTTTAAGTATTTTCCGTTTCTGTATATCCAGCAGAAGATGGAGAGATATGAGAGAGGTGGATATATAACTCCTATAAACAATATAATTTGTAAAACTCGCCTCCAGGATTTTAAAACAAAGATGTAAACATCAGACAATGCAGTAATGAAAAAAACATGACAACATAGTGAAAAAACCCTACACATTTCTCTAAAAATTGTTACAGACATGGCCTCCCTCCCATTCAATTGCTTCAATAACTCCTTTCCTGCCTCTTCCAATTTTTGTCTGTAGTGCTCTAGAGGTTTTCATCTCTGCCTTACTGTTGTTTTTATTATTTGTACTGAGGATATATTTGCAACTGTGGCATGTTGCATCAGGCAAAGCAAACATTAGACCATCCAGAATTTTCAAAGTGTACAAGCTAGACATCTTTAAGACACAAAAAGAACATATTTTACAGAAGTCAAAATTTATCCTTTATCCTTTGTTACACTGGGTGCTTCCTTATTAATTTCTACTACTCCTTTTATTTCATTCCAAATATCATCTTCTAGATGACTTTTAGGTAGACAAAAATGTCACGAGATGCTAACTTTCCAAAGGATGAACAAACCACAAAATGGATCAAAAAAAGTGAAATGCCAGCCTACGGGAAGGCAAAGAACTGTTGTAAAATTAAGAAGCCAAACAAAATAATGATGGTTTTGGCCTTTCACATCTTGGGTATCATTTACATTCTGTACCTGTGGGGAATCAGGATTGCTAACAAGATACTGTTAGTGATCTGCTGGCAAATGTTGTCCTACAACATAAAACTAGATTCCTGATTAACCAAAAATCTTCTAAAATATGTGTCTGCTTCTCATGGAAAATTATGACCTTTCTTGCAAAACTTCCAACTCAAAAAACCTTGATATTTTAGTGTTTATCCTTCTAATTAATATTTCCAGGCTTTTCACAAAATCCAACCAATTCTACTCTCCAACCAATTCTATTTGGACATGAATCACCTCTCCCTGAAACAGTTTTCAAACTGAATGTGTTTTATGATTTTACCACATTTAAGCGCTAAATTTTGACATTAATACAAGGAATAACAAGACTCTGGGACTAGCAGTGTCCCAGTTGCTAAACTAGGATCATTAGCTGAATTTCCAGAGCACAGTGATCCTCCTATTGTAGTTTGTGTCATGAGCTATTCTACAATTTTGTTCAAACTCTTTTTTTAAGATAATGTACTGTACAAGAAAGAGCGGCTTTCATCGCTTTTCTCTCTTCACAGAGTCTCTAAAAAAAAAAGTCTGTCTGTAATGAAACATTATTGACTATTTTTTCTTTGGCTAACTTTACATGTTGGATTCCTCCTTACATGTTTTAGTATGAATACTGCTTATTACTATTCGTTATTTATACATCTTTTCCTTTGAAAATTAAAATTTAATCATTAGTTCCTATTAATGCTTTTCATGCATTTTTTACCCTCTCAGCTCTATGGGGGTTTTAGATGCTTCCTCTCTCGTTTTTCTTTCCTGATTTCTTATGGAAATTTTTCCTTCTCAATATCCACTTTGCTGCTCTTTGTTTCTCTCTCCTGGGAACTGCCGCTTTTTGGGTTTAATTAATGCTGCCCTACTATTATATACATCACATACACTAAAAAGTTCTCTAAGCAGAGACTTATTAAAAATATATGGAAACTGATGCTTTTAAAGAAATTTGGCTTCAAATAATTCCTATTTCTTGAGAAAATGAATAATTTCTTGAGAAATATGGCCAGCTATTCCTTCAAGCAAATCCTGCTCTACATCAAAGATTTTCTAGCTGGTCTTTAGCATGCTTCCCTGGAAGCAGGCAGGATAAGGAATTAAAGAAAGGAAGAGGTTAACTACTGCCCCTCTGAATCCTGCTCCCTCACCAAAAATGCCACAATTCTCATACTTCTACTTGTTGAGTGTTAAAATCAATATTGTGCATGGGAAAAAAAAAGAGATAGTGTCTATATGATCATGTTTTATCCTCCTCTTTGAGACATGATGCCACAAGAAGGTATGTCCCTATCATGTGCTCCATTAATATTTGGGCTATTTTGAATATTCAGCTGCGACCTGCATGTTCTTTCTGACCTTGAAATCCAGGGACAGTCATGATAAATCTCTTTCACATCTTTCACATCAAGTATGAAATTTGTACTCAATGGAGATCAAAGTGAAGCCCCATGTCTAATTTTAAAGCACTGTGTGTATTTTTATTAACTCTGTTATTTGTCATGATTTTAAACTGCTTCTTATGTCCAGCTTTTCAGCTGAACCTAAACTTGTCTCATCTGCTTGTTTGATACCAAGAGACACAAGTTGTAATTAGGGAAATCTCAATTACAGATTAGAAAAAAAAATAGTACACAAGGTATTCAAACGCTGAACACGTGTCAAGACAGATGTAAATGAAATCTGCAACCTTACAGATATCCTTGACTGATACAACTCTGGTCAGGCCACTCTGCCTTAGAATTGAGCCCTGCTTTGAGCAAAGGGAACTGGATTTTCCTGGAGATTCTTTCTAAAACAAATTATTCTGTGATTCAGTGTTTTGCTATCCTGAACCCACTCTATGTGATGTGTTTGAAAAGCTTTATCTCTTAGTGAATAAAGAATCAGGCTGGCAATTGTTTACATAGATAAACAGCTCTCCTAGATAATAATTCTTTTATTTAACATATGAATTAATTTTTACAAAACCTAGAGTCCTTCTGCTAGCCTTCCACAGAATCTATCTGATGGGGTCAACACAATGCAATTGCAGAACATCTCATTCCCGTGAGTATTATGTAGCACACAGCAGCTTTCTGAACAAAATATAAACTACTAGACACCACTATAAACTACTCGACACGTCCAATGATGACAGTATCCTCTGCAGTTTATTCAAGAACAAGCACATCTGTTATTCTGTGACAAGCACTTGCCTTTTGTAAGAGTCCTGACTAAGCACTGCAGGAGTGAATCCATCATTTCTGCTGCTGCTCGAGCTCTGACTCCCTCTCTTTCCACCCCTGTGCCACCCGTCCTGTACGTTATGAACTCCTCTACTTGAAACTTTTGCCAAAAAGGGAGAAAAGCTGAAGACAGAGAGGCATCTTCTGCATGGTAGATGACACAAGCAGGCTATACAGTGCTCCATG